ACTCTGATGTAATTTCTCTTCCAGACAGACTAATTCTGCCATAACTACGCACTGTGTTGCTGGTCCAGTCGTAGGTCAAAACTGGTCTGAAAGCAGCATAAGCCTCATGTGTAAGTTCACACCAGGAACTTTGGCTGTGAGATCTATGGGCGCAGAGGTCCTGTCAGCGCTCCACTGTGAACGGTCCTCTCACGAAGCTGCTAGAGTCTGTCTCCGACAAGACTGGAGCGCCACCGTGAGGCCAGCTTTGGCGCAGGTGCTATTTCTTTGAATTCTTTCCTAGTGGCAGGAATACCAGAGCAGTCAGCTTTCTATTGTATCCTGTTTGCAGTAAAACCTGCGGAGTGTTTTCGGTCTACTCTTACGGTAAAGAAAAGAAAACAAATACGGAAAAAGAAAATGCTTTATCTGGATTGTGAAGTCTTGATGCGTCTTGAGAATTTGGAATTAATACCTTAGCTTCAAAGAAAATGAGGAGAGGTCTCCCTGTGCAATGGCTGCTGGGTTTGTTATCTATAACTCACTATCCTCTGATAAACAAGATTTTAATTGAGGTCCCAGAGCTATGGTTCAGATGTCTCTATTGTCCTTGGAGATCAGTACCAATTCCTTTCTCCAAATGACCATTAGAAACTCCACTCAGGATAGGAGCTGACCTAGTAAGTAAAGCGCTTGCCATGCAAGCAGGAGGACCTTCACTGAAAGCCCCAGAACCCAGGGGTGGCAGTACGGATCTGTAACCAGTGGATCTCTGGAGAAATAGGAGGTGGAGGCAGGAGAATACCTGGAAGCTCCCAGGCCAGCAAAGAGACCCTGTCGCAAGCAGGATGGAAGGGAAAGACTGACACCAAAGTTGTCCTTGGACTTCCAAGTGAGTGCTGTGGTTCACTCCGTAGCTTAAGCTGACCTTGAACTCACAGCAATCCTCCTGCCGTAGCATTCTGAGTGCTGGGATTACAGGCATGAGCTGCCATGCTTGGTATTTAGTGCTCTGAATCCACTCCTTTCCATGAGTTTCCTTGGTTTCCTTGATCCTGGGCTTGCCCCTCGTTAGCACTGCTGTAATCTTAAAATTGTGAAGTGTTTCTATCATTGGCTTAAGATCCTTGAATGGCTGTCAGGAACTCCAAGCATGTATGAGGCTCCTCACTACGAAGAACCCACAGCCCCGTCCAGCTCCAAGTCTTACTGCATCCTTGATTCCATCTTTCTGGAACCGTTATTAGACCCTCAAACACACTGGGATGCTTTGGTGAATGTACATGCATTACAGCTGTTTGCTCTATTTAAATACCTTTACCCACCACATCTATTGGAGCACATCTGTTTAAGACAGCATCTCATGCAGTGTCTAGGCTAGCCTTCAACTGGCTAGCCAGCCAAGGATGACCTTGAATTTACATTTTAGAAATGTATTTATTGTGAATGTGTGCATGCCATAGCATGCATGTGGCAGTCGGAGGACAACTTGTGGGAATCTACTCTCTTCTTCCACCGTGCGGGGTCTCAGGAATCAGGAACTGAGATAATCAGGTTTGGCAGCAAGTGCCTTTACATGCTGAACCATCTCACCAGCTCAAATACCTTGGACTTCTGACCCTCTGCCTCTACTTTCCCTGTTCTGGGATTGTAGGCATGTGCCACCATGCCTAGTTTACTGGTTAATGAGGACTGAACCTAGAACTTTATGAATCCTAGGCAACCAACCTACCAACTGAGCTGTCTCCTCAACCTGCTATGCCAATCTCATCTTCTCTACAAAACCTACCCAAGTATTCGACAGTGCCCCCACCCTGCCACCACCCCCCACCCACCACCAGTGACAACTCCTTCCCTCCCTCTATCATCTACTGCTGGTCCTAGAACATTTTCTTACTCTGTTTGAGCTCTATATCCCTACAAGACTCTACTCCATGAGAACAAAGACGGTCTAGTTCATCTCTGCAGGCCCAGGCTGTGGTCTCGGGGTGACGCTGTAAAAACTACACTCACGCTGAAGCTGGTCGAATGATGAGGGAGCGTAAGAGAAAAAAAAATTCCCAAACACACCTTCAGGCCATGGAGTGGTCACTCTGTTCACAACAACAAGCTGCCCCAAGCACCTGCCACCTTGGTGTTATATAGACTTGGTGTTCACTGGCTACAGCTGAGAAACCATGTGTGTCCAACAATCACACCATACTAGTTTTTGGAGAAATTCCAGTTCTACAGAGCCATGATTCAATTTCCTCTCCACTTTTATTGACGATACTTTTAAATAGTTTTGTTTTGTTTTTCCCCCCAAGGGGAAGTGCTTTCTCAATGAGTCAGCTGGATATTGTTGAGGCAGGCAGCAGTCTAAGTCTGCTTCATTTGACTTCATTCTTCTGTCTGCCAGAACCAGAATCCAAAGCACCAGCCTAAAGAAACAGGTCCACTGCTAAGTTCAGAGAGATCTTTGTGTGTTTCATCCCCTTTCCTTAGCTCAGACTTACTGAACTGGGAAGGTGGCTCAGTTGGCAAGTGGCTAGCCACATAAGCATGAGGACCTGAGTTCAGAACCAGAGACACCGCACACAAAGCCAGGCACAGTGGCATGTGCCCATAGTCCTAGCACTGTGGGGTTGAGGGAGCAGGGGTGGGAGGTGGCTTTGGAGACAGATGGATTATGGAAGCTCGTTGGTTGTAAGCCTTGTCAATTGGATGAGTTTCAGGCTTAATAAGCGATTTTGTTTATATAGATGAATGTGAGGGCTGGAAAGATGGCTCGGTGGTTAAGAGCACTTACTGCTCTTACAGCGACCCCAGGTTCAGTTCCCAACATCCACGTAGTGGCACACAACCACTTTTAACTCCAGTTCTAGGGGACTTAGATGCCTTCTTCTGACCTTGGTGAACCAAGCATACATGTGGTGCCTGTGGTGATATTTTGTTTGTGCTCTAAGAAGTCAAGCTTGCATGGAAATCAAAGTGCAGAGCTAGCCACTAGTTAATCATAGAAGCTGGGCAGTGGTGGCACACAACTTTAATCCCAACACTAGGGAGGAGGATATAGGAAGGGATATGGCTGGGCAGAGAGAAGAATATGAGGCGGGCGGAGACGGGAGTTGCCCCCCTTTTAGACTGAGGAGTTGGTGGCTGTGGCTTGCTTCTTTGTCTCTCTGATCTGTCGGTATTCACCCCAATATCTGACTCCAGGTTTTTATTATTAAGACCAATTAGAATTCACACTATAGGTGCCCATACATACATGCTATCAAGACACTCAACTACTAAAATAAAATAAATAAATCAAAAAAGACTGTGGATGGGTCAGAGAGATGGCTCAGCAAATAAAGGTACTTGCTGCCAAGCCTAAAGTCCTGAGTTCGATTCCAGGTATCTACAAGGTGAAAAGAAAGAACCAACACCTGCAAGTTGTCTTATGACCTCCACACGTGCTGTAGCACATGCATATATGTACACAAAAATAATCTATTAAAAATAAATAAATAAATAAAGGTGAAGTGCAATTTAGGAGACACACTTAATGTCTGTCTTTGACCACATACATTTATGTGCACACACATGCATGCATGCATACCCACCCTCCCACACATACACACACCAAAAAAATGTTATTGATCATTTAATGTGAACCAGACTACACACTTAGCAAACATTAAGAAGAGACATAGCACATGGCTTCAGCCTTGGAAACTGCAAAGACTGTGAACAAACTTATGTGAGCTTATGTGGAGCTATAAGTGCAGTGCAGTAAGAAAATACCTAAAACAGAGGAACATGGGCCAGGCATGGTGGCGCACGCCTTTGACCCCAGCACTTAGGAGGCAGAGGTACATGGATCTCTGTGAGATTCAGACTGAATTCCAAGTCCATTCTTTTAAAGAAATGGATATAGAGCACAAATTCAATGAGCTATACAACTCTATTCTCTGAAAGGAGGGACACGAGTTGGGTCATTGGTATAATGTTGAATACTTCCTAGAAAGCAAGGCTTTCCTCTGCCTTCTCGGCTCCTGGGGGGTGAATTATCTTTAGTGAATCATCAATACCAGGTAGCTATAACTGGAGGGGGAGAGACAACCTCCACTGTATTTACTTGAATAAACTTTGGCCTTGTCTAAGCCAAAGGCTACAAACTTCTTTGCTACTTTATCTGGTCTTTTGCATGGGTTCCCAGGATCAAAATAGGATCATTAAGCTTGCAGCGTTAGTGTCTTTACCTGTTCAGTCATCTTCCCAGCGCCCTCAAAGCCCTATTTTTGGAGAGTAAATATACTTAAAATAACAAGATATCTCACTGAAAGCTATAAGAAGGAATCAGAGAAGAAACGTCCAGTCTCATCTCATGCTTACTCCAAACCTGCTCTGCTTGAGTGTGAAGGTCTCACCAGAACTTATGATATATGAACATTGAGTATGTGCACTGTACTATTTATCTTGATGACTCAATTTTGTTTCTTCAGCTTTCACCTTCATTCCAAGTACTTCATCTTGTTACAATGTTTCGAGATCTGGTTTGTTTGAGCTAGTCCAGCGATTTTCTTTTCTTCCTCTGCCTCACCCCCCACTTTTTTTTTTTTTTTCTTGTTCCTTCTTTCTGTGGTACTGGAGAGCAACTCAGATCCTGGCTTCCATTCTAACAATGTCTCAGACCCTTTCCCTTCTTCAGAATGCTTTCCTCTTATCTGGAATGCTGTTTCTATGTCTAAGAAAAATGACCCCTTCTCAGTGCAAACATTTGATTGAACTTGACCCTCCACCCCGTCACTATCCATCAAACCTTTTAATTTCCTTCTCAGCACTTTTCATTTTCCTAAGTTACGGTAACGTTGATTAACAGTATCTCTGTTCCCGCTAGACTGTGACCTTAAGTGCAGAATCTTGGCGTGTTTCTCACCAAACTATCCCTAAAAGCCTAGAATACTCCCACGCACAAGAATGGCCTATCCTGTGAACAAGTTTACAACTCCAACTTTCACCATGCCTGGCGCAGCCAGGCTCCGCCTCCTGGAAATACTTCCGCCTACGGCCTCTCCGGAAGCAGTCGCGGACAGGAAGTCGTATGCACAGGCGCTGTGGGGCTGCGCGGCACTCTGGGTAAAAATGGATGCCTATGATCTATTTCGCCGGCTCGGAGCCGGCGCCAAGTTCGACGTGAAGCGGTTCTCGGCAGACGCTGCTCGATTCCAGGTGCTTATTGTACACGGGGAGCCAAGTACCCGGGAAGGGGCGGGGTCCGTAGAATGAGACCGCTGCCAGCGGTGCAGTGGGCGCGCTGGATCCCGGAGGCATGGCTCCGACCACCCCCGGACCTTTCCCTTCTTTGGAGTTCAGCTTGACCTCAGACCTACCCTAGACTTCCGAATGACTTTTCCGAGCCCTGGTCGACTCAGTTGAGCCTGGCACGGACACATTTGTTGCCCTGCTTCTTTACTTACAAAGTTAGAATCCTTTCAAAGGCCCCTTCTCAGAAACTAGAGGAAAGGAATTTCAAAAACAGTAGCCTACCCAGGTCTGACTTAGCGTGCAGATAACTGTAATGTATTGGACACGGTTCTTTTCAGCGTTCCAGACAGCGGCATTTTAAGTAACCAACCAGAAGACTGGTGTTGAGATGTGGAGAGGGGAGTGTCTTAGAGAAGTAGTGAGCCCGAAGGGCAGTGAGTTGGCTCATTCGTGGAACATTTTGAACATAAACCTAATATAAAAGAACAGAGCCTTTTTGAAGGGCGATGTGTTTCTTCATCCTAACTGCAGTGCTATGGTTAAATTGTTGGTGTGAGAATGAAGTTGTTTAATATCTAATAAACGTTTGACATGTAGTAAATTGCATAAATTCTTGCTGTCATTGTTGTTACTATAAGGAGGATAGAAAAGGGTGTAGTGGTTTTTGTTTATTTATATTCCATTTGCCTAAACACCCTACACAACAGATTCTTGGTCGAAAGAGTTAAAATGATGAATTACTGAACCCATGTCCTCCATACTGATAGTCATGGTTGGATGAAAACATCACTATTCTGCCCGTAGATCTCATTTAAAATTTGGGGGGGCTTTTAGGTGGGAAAAAGGAAATGTGATCCTGATTCTTCGGAGGTACTGCAAGGACTGGACTTCTTCGGAAACAAGAAGTCTGTCTCAGATGAGTGTGGAACATTACAAACACACCAGGAGCTCCAAAATGAGGAGAAGACAGAGGGGTATCTGTTGGAGAAAAGTAAGGAGCCCAGGAAGAAAAAGAGAAAGAAGATGATTTCAGGTTAGTGTTGACTTTCTGTTGTTGTTGTTTTTCAGTTGCAGAATAGTGCAAGCTTGTAAATTAGACAATACATACCTATTCCTCTGTTGATGACATTTGGATTATATCTAGGTACTGGCTTTTAATTGCTACCATGATACTCATGCATAGCATAACCTTTTGTACAGGTGTTTCTGTCTCCCCAAGTGGAGGCACTCTGTGAAAGGGTGTGCACACTTGCTTTGAATAGACACCACAAAATGACTTCCACACCTTTGTCAGTACCGAGTTTTTGATTTGAGACGAGGATTCCCAGGTGCTGGGGTTGGAGGCCAGCAAGGTGGGAAAGCAGATATTGCCACAGAAGCCTAGTGACCTGAGTTTGATCCTCAGAACCCACATAAAGGTGGAAGGATAGAACTGAGTCCACAATGTTTTCCTCTGATCTCTACACACATGCTGTGGCAAACCCCCCCCCCCCCCGCTAATAAAAATACATTTCATTACAACCAAGTGCTGGGATTACAGGCATGAGTGAGTATCACATCTGACCTAGCATTATTATTTGTCTTAATGTTTTTTGCCAATCTACTTAATGAAACTTTTAATTTAGATTTTATTATTATTTATTATTACTATTATTATTTTGAGACAAGTCTGTACCCTAGGTTGCCTTTTAACTTTCTCTTTTAGTTAAGAGTGACCCTGAACACTTGCTCATTTTACCTCCGTCTCCCAAGTTCTGTTGTCTCTTTAAATAAGATCCATCACCTGGTTTTAAGCTGTGCTGAGGTTTGAACCTAGGGCTTCATTATACACACTAGACAAGTACTCTGCTTTTACTCACTGAATTGTAGCCCTCCCTTTTTAATTTTGTGTTATCTTGATAATTGAGGTTGAGCATCGATTTATTTAGTTCTTTGTTTGTTTGTTTATTTGGAAGCAGGGTTTCTATTTAGTTCTGGATGTCTTGGAACTCATTGTGTAGACTAGGCTGCCCTAGAATTCAGAGATCTGCCTGCCTCTGTCTTCTGAGGGCTGGGATTAAAGGCCAATACCACCACACCTGGCTTTGAACATCTTTTTATGTGCTTTATGGATACTTCATTTCCGCTTTTGTGAATTATCTCTTCCTTTTCATAGTTTTTTTTCTTTGTTTTTTTCCCTCCTGTATAGAAAATGCTTTATAGGAGCATGTATATATTATGTCTGTTGTTTCCTAGTCATTTACCTTTTTTATATAAAATAAATACCTAAATTATGCAATGATGCTGAGTAAATTTCTTTTCCAATCTTTGTGTCCTGTTCCCTAGTTCTGTTATATTTTTCTTGAGCTACTATATTCACACTCATTTATGTCTTTCTTCAAAACACATGGGTTTGCTATTTTCATATGCTTATATACTTTATAAATATAAATTCTCTCTATACTTTCTGTTATAAACCTTTCCCTTCCTCTCGACTCCTACCTCCTCCCCTTTTGTGAGAAGGTCGTGCATGGTCCTGGCTAGCATGGAACTGGCTGTATAGACTGAGATACCTTAAACTTAGGGCAATCGAGCTGGGCAGTGGTGACGCACACCTTTAATCCCAGCACTCGGGAGGCATATCTGTGAGTTCGAGGCCAGCCTGGTCTACAAGAACTAGTTCCAGAACAAGCACCAAAGCTACACAAAGAAACCCTGAAAAAACTTAGAGCAATCCTTTTGCCACTGCTCTTCCACCCCCACCTTCCCTTAAAGGCATCTTGGAATTGTTCGGAATCAATAGGAAATTCACTGATTTGTTCTCTTTAACACAGCATAGTATACCATTATGTTCCACAGCTGGTTTAAGTTTTTTTTTTAATATTTATCTATTTGTGTGTATGTGTGTTTTTCTATAATGCTGCACATATGGAGGACAGAGGACATACTGTGGGAGCCTAGTCTCCTATCATGTACATTCTGGGAATCAGTCTCATGTTGTCAGGCTTGAGGGTTAATATACCTTTACTTGCTAAGCCATCTCCAGCCCTTAAGATTGATTTTACAAGGTCATCTATGATTGGCATATATTTATTTGCTCATTCATTCATTTATGTATTTATTTGGTTTTTTGAGGCAGGGTTTTTCTGTAGCTTTGTAACCTGTCCTGGAACTTGCTCTGTAGAGTAGACTGGCCTTGAACTCACAGAGATGCCCTTGTTCCTGCCCCCTGAATGCTGGGATTAAAGGTGTGCGCCAACCACCACCGAGCCTAGTTTATTTCTTTCTTTTGCTGTTGCAGTGTTAAAAAATGTTGTTGTACTTATCTTTGTGTGTTTGTATGACTGTGTCTGTCCAACAGATAACTTAGAATTAAAAAATTGGCCAGTCGATTTAAATTTAGATGTTGTAGAATGATCGACCTGAAACATTATATCACTCAGAAGCAGACAGAGTGTCTTCTTTTTAACACTAGGTAGTTAGTATGCCATACCTGGTTTGACTAGTGCCTTTGTCAGGAACATTTACTATGTTTCTATATTTCTGCTATTATATTGTAAAAGTTTCTTTTTCCCTAGCTTCAAGGAAGATGGTGAAACCTTTGCCTGCTGTTAAAAAAGAAATTCAGCAAATTTAGAGAACTGATTAAAATGTTGGGCAATCAGAAATACATAGATGTATACTGTAACTGTTCAGTAATAAATGTATGTAGGCTGGTAAATCTAGTAAAATACGTGTATTTATTTTCAATTAGAAATGTTAAGACTGGATTAGTGGTGATTGGGGTTATTAGCTCTGCTGTTAGCCAGCAGGCACAAGTGGTTGTCCTCCACAAGCTGGATGCAGGAGTCCTCTCTCTCTCTCTCTCTCTCTGTTCTTCCCTGCGATGCCTACTAGAACTGCCGGGAGTTTCCTCTTTCTGTAAATTTGTCTCTTCATAGTTCACAGTCCTTTGTTGGTAGGTTACTCAACCATTTCTTCTTGGTTTAATAAACTTCATATATTTTGGAAATTAACTCAGAGTAAAAGATCCTCTTATCTTTTCCTACCAGTTGCTTCATTTTGTAACATTGATATCGTCAATCCTGCTGGTTTGTTATAAAAAGTAAATGAGATGGGTGTGGTAGTGCAGGCCTTCAATCTCAGTGCTTGAGAGGCAGAGGTGGGCCGGTCTCTGAGTTCGTGGCGAGCATGATCTGTATAGCAAGTTCTGGGTCAGCCAGGGCTACATAGTGAGACCCTGTCTTAAAAAACAAGAAACAAAGAAAAGAAAAAAGAGTGAACAGAGAACCAAATTCCTTTTCCATAGAAAGCTATGTGTTTGTTTTTGGGCTAGTAGACCCGGAAGTTGAAATCCTGTCTCCATGCCTTTTGCTGGGTTTATAGGCATGCACTGTCAGATACAGCTCAAATATAATTTTTATTGGAAACTTATTTCCCAGTTTTTGTTCAAGACTGTCTGTGGACTCTGTTCTATTCGATTGATATATATTCCTGTGTTCTCATACCAGTATCATTTGGTTTTAGTTGTGACATTTTATCTAAAAACAAAACAAAAAGCAGAACAACAGATAGATTGAAAAGGCATATTATCACACATACACACACGTTTAGTGTGCTAGAGACCACCTAGGACAACTTACAAGCTAGATAAGCACTCTGCTTCTGAGCTACATCTGATCCTCAATATATGCTTTAAAATATATACAGTTTTATTGAATGCCAGTTATGTCTCAGTGAAGTTAAAAATTGTGCTTTTGCAATTCCATAGAGGAGCCGGAGAGGTGGGTTAGCAGTTAAAAGCGCTGCTCGTTTAGAGGATCCAGGTTCAATTCCTGGCACCCACAAGTCACCTTTCACTACCTATAACTCCAGTTCCAGGGGATCTGATGTCCTCTTTTGGCTTCCCTGAATACCTGGCATATACAAGGTACACAGCCAAAATACCCATACACATTAAAAAAAAAAAATCAGTTAGATATCCAGGCATAGTGGTACTCACCCATAATCTCATCATTTAGAAGGTGGAGGTATGAAGATCAGAAGTTCAAAGTGAGTCTTACATAGCAAGTTCAAGGCCAGGCTGGGTTAAATGAGACTCTTAAAACATAAGATATTTAGTAAAGATCTTTGCTCACTACTAATAAATTTTTTTAGATAATTCTCACATATTTGTTCTACCATACAAATGTTAAAGATTAATGTTAATTTATAATTATTATAATTTAACGATGAAAATATTAAATTAAAAGCTAATCTGATCTCTAAGACAATTGTGTCTGCTTTTAATTGAGTTACTGTTCTTCATAGATATAGAGAGAATCGCAGTCTTTATAATGTTGGATTATGGTTTTATTGCTATTGCCCTTGAAATCTTTCTTTCATCATAATACTTTCTATCTTGGTTTTTTGTTGTTGTTGTTGTTGTTTTTTGTAAACAGAGGCTGTCTGCCATATTATTTGTGCAATTTTCAGTTTATCTCTCGTTTGAAGCATACAGTTGTCTTGATGGCCAGAACTGAAACAACCAACCAGGGGAAGAGTGAGCGTCAGAGCTCTGCCTGCACCAGGAGTTTAACTCCTGTTTCCAGGTCTCTGTGCGCTGTGCTTTCTTTCCAGTTGGATCTGCTAATACTTCACATTTTCTGGTTTAGTGTGAAGTGTAGCCAGTTTGGCAAACCTAACACAGTTGTACTTGATAACTTTTGATTTTAAAATATGTTATAGAGATTACTGCACAAGAAGACTTTGATACTACTATACAGTGGACGTCCTCTGTGGAAGCAAAGATTCAAGAGGAGAAAAAAGCCAAAGAAGAAAAGAAACTAACTTCAGGAAAGTTGGAACATCTCAGAAAGGAAAAGGTTTGAAAAATCTTTTGACCTCCCAAAGTACACATAGAGTTTTCACTGGACTTTGTTTTGTGGATTTATTTTGTTAAAACGGAAGACAAATTACATTCGTTTAGGTTCTACTTTAATGAAGTGTTTCCGTACCCATCTGTGCAATGCTGGAAGTGTTTGGTTACGATTATAGATAGGTCAGGTAGAAAGAGTTTAGTTCCAGTTGTTTTTAGGTGTATAGTGCATATATATAACAGTTTTTGACCTCTTCAAGTTTCAGGAGTAATAGTGTTGTTAGAATTAAAAATTTTAAATTTTTTTGGTCTTGAGAGGTGGCTCAATGGTTTAGAACACTGGCTTCTCTTTCAGAGGACCCAGGTACAGTTCCCAGCACCCATGTGGCAGCTCACAACCATCTGTAACTCCAGTTCCAGGGGATCTGATGCCCCGTTCTGACCTCTGCAGTCATCTCTGTAGGTGTCAAGCACACAGATGGTGCTCATACGTACATACAAGCAAAAACATTCATATACATAAAATAAATTTTATTTATTTGTTTGGTTTTTTGACTTTTCAAGATAGGGTTTCTCTGTATAGCCCTGGCTGTCCTGGAACTTGCTTTGTACACCAACATGGCTTTGAACTCACAGAGATCCACCTGCCTTTGCCTCCCAAGTCCTGGGATTAAAGGCGTGCGCCATCATCACCTGGCAATAATTTTTTCAATTCAAATATTTAAACTTCTTTTGATAAGCATGAAATCTGACTCCTTTTCTCTTTGGTGTTGAATTTACTGGTGTAAAAGTATTTTCTTCTGTGGGGATTACAGGGTTAGAATTCTTTTTGTTGTTTGTTTGAGATAGGATCTCATGTGGCCTACATGGATCTCCTGATTCTCCTGCCTCTACCTCCCAACTGTCAGGATTACAGGTGTGTGCCACTATACATGTGGAGGGTTAAAATTCCTAAGGAGGGTACTTTGTGGTGAGGGTATAGGACATGAAAAAACAATGACTGTAGCCCTGTTGCTTCTTATGTCCGTCTGCTTTGCTAGTGGAGACTGTAGTGCTTCCTTCAGGGGTTATTGTGCTGTGTTTCAGTAACCCAGAAGCCAAAATGGGGCTGTCTGTGGACTGGAGGCTGAAGTGGTCCAGTCAGTATTACTAAACTCTACCCTTGGCACTCAGGTTTAAGAAATACAAGGACTGGTTAGCTGTTTTGTTTTTAAATACTAAAAAGCACTGGTATTTGTATGCTAAGTTAGAAAACATAATTTCAGTGCTTGCCTTCTAGAAGTTTCTATAAAGTCATATAAGTTGTAAGTGTGACAAATGTTTTACAGTACATGACACATCTCTTAACTTCAGTTTGAAAGCACAGATAGGTGGGTTCCATCATCGGTGAGAGTCTTCCAGCTGTTAATACCACAAAATGTACCTAGTGTCTGTGCTAACTGGAGTTTTAATTTAAGCAGGATGCTTCATGTCTCACTGTAGCTTATCCCAGAACTGTTACTGCTGTTCTGTTTTAAAACATCAAAGACTGTTGTTGGGCCATATCCATGGTGGCTTCTTTGTCTCAATTTTCAGATCAACTTCTTTCGGAACAAACACAAGATACATGTACAAGGAACTGATCTTCCTGACCCAATTGCTACATTTCAGCAGCTTGAACAAGAGTATAAAATCAGTTCTCGATTGCTCCAGAACATTCTAGATGCAGGCTTCCAAGTGCCCACGCCAATTCAGATGCAAGCCATTCCAGTTATGCTGCATGTGAGTGCAAAGATTTAGGATGTCTGTAACAATCCCGTGTCCTCATTCTCTTCCTGTTCTTGACATCCTTTCCACCTTTAGTCCCCTTAAGTCCTTCATTTGCTTTGAAAGTGCCTCAAGTGCTGTGCCTTATAAAATCCACTCACAGGATGTGATCATTTCCTTTATGTGTGTGTAGACATAGCCTCGAATCCATGGTCCTCTTAGCCTCTCGAGTACTGGGACTTTGGGTATTTGCCACTGTGGTTGACACTCCAGTATTCTTTGTCAGGAAGTATTTAAACTCTCAGAGCATGGAGATTGTGTTTTGTCTTTTTATTCTTAGCTTTTGAAAGTTCTTATGCATAATCCAACTTAGTTTTCCCCCAATACTCTATATTATTGAAATATTCCTTACATACAATAAAGCACATAGAGTTTAAGTTAGTTTAATGAGTCTGAACAGTGTGAAACCTACGTAATATATTGTTCTCCAGTGGAAATGTACATTCTTATGTACCTCAGAAAATTCGGCTGTGCCCTGCCCATTCATTCCTTACTCTACCCAGGGGGGAAAAAGCAAAACCAAACAGTATTTTGATTACCATATTATGTTTTGCTTCTAGGATTTCAAGTGGGATTGTCACTAATCTGGACTTCTTTTGTTTAATGGGCTTTTGTTTGTTTGGGGTTTTTGTTTTTGTTTTGTTGTTATTTTGCTTTTTCAAGATAAGGTTTTTCTGTAGCTTTGGAACTTGCCGTGGAACTAGCTTTTGTAGATCAGACTGGCCTCAAACTCAGAGATCCTCCTGCCTCTGCTTCCCAAGAGCTAGGATTAAAGGCATGCACCACCACCGCCCAGCTACTTAATGTTTTTGAAACTTGTAAGACATCTGTTACTGAATAGCATTCTGTTGTATGAATATATTAATAATGTGTTTATCAAATTGCTTATTAATAGATATGTAAATTAGCTGAGTTTTATTTGAAACTAAATTTTTCTGATGGCTTTAAAAAACAATGAAGCTGGGCAGTGATGGCACACACTTTTAATCACAGCCTTCAGGAGGCAGAGGCAGGTGGGTCTCTGACCAGCCTGGTCTACAGAGTGAGTTCCAGGACAGCCAGAGCAATCAATGTAGAGAAACTGTGTTGAACCACTCCTCCTCCCCCCAAGAAAACTCCAATCATACAGCTGGGTTGTGGTGGTATATACCTTTAATCCCAGCACTTGGGAGGTGAAAGCAGGTGGATCTCTGAGTTCTAGGCCAGCCTGGTCTACAGAGTGAGTTCCAGGACTACGTCTTGAAAAATCAACCAGTCAACCAAATAAACAAATGGTGAAAGTTTCCTACTTCCCTCTCTCTCCTTCCCTCTTTTTGTCTCTTCCCCTCCATTTCTCCTCCCCCTCTTTTCTCCCTTCTTTTCTCCTCCATTTTCTCTCCCTCTTTTCCTCTTCCCCATTTACAAAATAATGAACTTGGCCTTCATTTAAGGTAGATGAAAGATGTGTGTTATCTTTTCACCCCATTATGTTCTTTACGTTGCTTTGTGTGTTGAAATGGGAATATACTCATATTTGAATGCTGTTATAGACTTACATTTATTGAATTTGCACTTAGTTCCCTCTTAGATTATTTCTGCCATTATTTCAGCTTAAAGATTTAAGAATTACAGTGACCCCTTTGAAGACTGTCACCTGTGAATACTCTTGTCATTAACCACTTTTCAATTCTAATCTTCACTCATTGTGCTAGAGTTAACAGTACAGATACTGGGATAAAGTTGTGTTATGTGCTTTGCTAGCAGAGTTTAATGGAAAGAAAACTTGAAATAGTAGTTATGCTTCTCTTTGGTTTTAGTTGTCCCTGCTGCTTATCGTCCTAATGTACATTAGTAGCAGTGTTCAGAAACACTTGGGGCAGCAGTGGCAAGCCTGGGGTGTTTGAAAACAATAGATGGGGGTGTGTAGAGAGGTGGGTAGGGTGTGAACAGTTGGATTTATTTCATTCAGTTTTATTTGTTGCTTCCATGGCTGCTCACGTTGTTTAACCAGGCTCTGAAAACTTGTTGAACTTGTCCTGTACTTACTGTGCTCTTCTGTTAGGGTCGGGAACTCCTGGCTTCTGCTCCTACTGGATCTGGGAAGACTCTGGCTTTTAGCATTCCCATTTTAATGCAGCTGAAACAGCCTGCAAATAAAGGCTTTCGAGCCCTGGTTATATCCCCAACTCGAGAACTTGCCAGCCAGGTATGACTTAGAGTTTTGAGAGGATGCATTCATGTTTGCTTTGATACGTTTCTTGTTTAAGTTAGTAAAACTCTCAAAAAAATATCTTCTGTTGTGGCCCGGTGTCCTGTAGAAAGTATTCTGTAATATACAAAATTCTTTGTAATTTGGTCTTTGAAATGTCTAGAATTTTCTGAAATGTGATTTTGACAATTATCCTTCTTTTCTAAAGGCTCCACAATCTTTGAGGTTGAAAGGGTCCAGTGATATATCATCGCGAAAATTTGTTTTCCTCATTTAGAAAAATGAAATATTGCTGGGGATGGTGCCTCATGCCTGTGATTCCAGCACTGGGAGGTGGAAGAAAGAGGATCAATATTTCAGAGTCCTCATCATTTCTGAGACCCTGTCTCAGAGAGCAGCCAAGTGTGGTGGCATCTGTCTTTAGTCCCAGCGCTCTGGAGTCAGAGGTAGCTAGATCTCTGTGAGCTTTAGGCCAGACAGGACTACATAGTGAGAGCTTGTCTGAAGAAAAGAAGAAAATAAACCACCTCGTTCTCTGAGAAAGGAGAAGCTCCCCATTGATGAGCTCTACATCCCGTGTGTGGAGTAACCACATGCTCTGCAGTAGGACTTCAGCGCTGCACTCTGAAAGCTGCAGCAGATGGGAGGATTTGGTTTTGTTTCATGGAACTAGCTTAGGATCTTGAGGCAACTATTGAGTCTTTTCAGTCTTACAGGTCAGCCAACAGAGCACTGCGGGTTTTGTCTGTGGGTTCATAATAGATGTGTTAAAGGCATAAATGAAGCTGTGCATCATGGCCTAGTATCTTAATGACTTTGGTTTTCTCACTTTTTTGTTTTAGATTCATAGAGAATTAATTAAAATATCTGAGGGTACAGGATTCCGAATACATATGATCCACAAAGCTGCAATAGCAGCTAAGAAATTTGGACCTAAATCATCTAAGAAGTTTGGTAAGAACTTCCTGCTTAGAGTATCTAAGGGATTGGAAATAATAAAGGTCTTAATTACTGTATAAGAGTTGTTGCAGTACAAGTCAGGTGACAGAGAGTGAGTGGGGGTGGGAGTGTAATTCTTTTAAAAGTGAGAGTCTCAAATAATTCATGCTGGCTTCAAATTCAAGGTTGAGAATGAACTTGAACCTCTCACCCTCCTGCTTCCAAGTCCTAAGTGCTGGGATCACAGGTGTGTACCACAGCACCTAGTTTATGTGGTGCTGGGAATGGACTCTAGATTTTTGTGCATGGTAGGCAGATACCATACCAACTCAGGCACATCTCTAAGCTCCTAATTAGTTATTTTATTTTTTTGAGACAAGGTTTAATCTGTGTATTCTTTGCTGTCCAGGAACTTGTTTTGTAAATCAGGGTGGACTCAAACTCAAAGATCTACCTGCCTCTGCCTCCTGAGTGCTGAGATTAAAGGCACATGCCACTACTGCCTGACTTTAATTAGCTTTTGTTTTTTGGGAGTTTTGTTGTTGTTCTTTTTCTAAACAGGGTTTCTCTGTGTAACAATCCTAGCTGTCCTGAAACTAGCTCTTGTAGACCAGGCTGGCCTTGAACTCATAGAGATCCGCCTGCTTCTGCCTCCCAAGTACTGGGATTAAAGGTGTGCACCACCACTGCTTGGCTAATTAGTTTTTTTGAAGAAGCTTTTCCTCCCCCATTTAACCCAGAAAATCTGTGTCTGCATCCCAGGTGATCCTCCCCACCAGTTACCACAGTGACGTTTGGCTGTAAGGGGTATTTGTAGTTGTTAGAGCTGGGGAACCAACAGCCCATTGTGGATGGAGGCTAGAAATACCATTAAGACCCTACGGTGCCCTAGACATCTGTCTACAGAAAGTTGTGGGACTCAACATGTCAGCAGTGCTAGGCCTGGGAAGTCCTGCCTCTTACCCTTGATTTCTAATCTGCCATGGAAATGCCTTGGCAGGTAACAATGGATTACATGTCTCCCCTTTTAACTTGCACTCTGAGAAAGTTTCATTTAAGATTATTTTTCAAGCCAGGTGTGGTGGCACACACCTGCAGTCTTAGCGCAGAGGCAGGAGGATCAGAGGAGTTTTTAGGCCAGCCTGGCCTTTGGGTGATCCAGTGCTGGCCTTAGAGCTGGAATGACAGCAGTGGAGTGGAGTGGTGCAGTGCCGCAGCTCTTGCCCGACCTGTGTAATAGAAGGCCTGGGCTTTTGCTCCTGGGGCGGGGAAGAAAGAGCACAGCAGCTAACCTGGAACTGGGCAGGGTAAGATGATCATGAGTTTGAGGAATTCTGACCTACACAGCAAGACTCTGTCTCAGGCAGCCAAAAGGGTGGGGAAGTTGCCCAAATAGAGTAGAAGAATTAGAGAGTTTTATGCTGTGGTAGAGGGAGAAATATGCATTACTTTCTAACAAGCAAGAGTTTTCGTATTTAACTACTCTTCCCATCCTACTTAATAAGATTAATAACTGAAATTCTGAAGGCTTAATTCTGTAGTTAGAAGGCATCTTATTTGCAGTTTCCACCCCTTATTTTCCCTGTAGATATTCTTGTGACTACTCCAAATCGACTGATCTACTTGTTAAAGCAGGATCCACCAGGGATAGACTTGACAAGGTACAGCATTCTTCTGGCTTTCGTTCACCTGCTTATTTTATTTCCTTGTCACTATGACTAAATATTTGACAAACTGTAATTTGAGGAGGAAGGAAGGACAGGCTTATGTTTAAATGGATATAGATCATTCCCTGGGGCCAGAAGGTGGGGCACCAGGTCTCCTTGCAGCCACAGTTAGGAAGCAGAGAATGACGGCTGCTGGCCCCTAACTTGTTTTCTCCTTTTTATTCAGTGCTAGGCTTCAACCTGTGGTGTGTTTTGTACAGTGGTCTTCCAGCCTCAGTTAACCTGTCTAGATAGTCCTCACAAACGAGCCCAGAGGCTTGTCTCTGGTGATTCTGGATCCTGTCAGGTTGACAATCAGTATCGTCCATCACAGTTACATTTTGTTCGCAGTTGCTCTGATTATTGTGCTTTGGTGCATACTGTCTGCCAGCTTGTGTCAGTGTAATACTGAGAATATAATAGCTTGAATTAACTAGTAGAAAAAAAACTAGTCAGGAAGAAAATTATACACTTGATAAACAGAGCATAAATCCCCAGACCTTTTACATCTTTCAGCAAGTGCAGTGGAATCCTCTGTCATTGCTAATACAGCTTGTCTTTGAAGATTTATAATTGGTGACTGAGCTACATTTATAATGTTTTTCTGCTAATTTTTCTTGTACATTTTTTTCTCATTTGATAAAGTGAATCAAAACCAGCATCATTATGGGACTTTTTCATGTATCCTGACAGTTCAGTGAAGTGTCCCAGATCTTCCAGTTCAGTAACCACAGGTTCTTTTGCTGTTTCTCAGTGTTGAATGGCTGATAGTAGACGAGTCAGACAAACTGTTTGAAGATGGCAAAACTGGGTTTAGAGACCAGCTGGCTTCCATTTTCCTGGCCTGCACATCCCACAAGGTCAAAAGAGCAATGTTCAGTGCAACTTTTGCATATGATGTTGAGCAGTGGTGCAAGCTCAACCTGGACAATGTCGTCATTGTATCCATTGGAGCAAGGTAAATAATTGTTCTTTCACGTTGTCCCACTCACTTGTCTTAAAGTAAGGTTGGTTTGTTTGTTTGCTTTGACTCAATAAAATAGGTTTAGCATGACACCAACGAGCAAGAAAAGTTTTACTGATGGAAATGTGTTTTGTTTTGTTTTTGTTTTTCGAGACAGGGTTTCTCTGTAGCTTTTGGAGCCTGTCCTGGAGCTACCTCTTGTTGATTAGGCTGGCCTCGAACTCACAGAGATCCTCCTGCCTCTGCCTCCCATACTTGGTTTCCATGATTGTTTGCTTACATAGGGCCGTATGGAAAAAGCTGGTGTTACTTAACCACTTGATAAGTAATTCTGGTACAAAACATGATTTTGTTCAGTGCCAGGAATATAGTTCAGTGATTGATAGGGCAGTTACTTAGCGTGAGATCTCTGTCCCATTCTTCAGCACTAAAAAAGGGTTTGAGGTAGATAGGCGTTTTATGCTAAATAAATACACAGTCTACCGAGATTTATGTTGTGGTTAAGTTCAGTAAACCTCTCAGCGTTCAGAAGGATTGCTAGAGCAGGCAAAAACTAAGATGTCTGAGGGTAAATAAAATAGTTAGCTCTCATAAGCCTTTTTATCATGTCTCATTTATTCTTCCTATGCCCTTTCCAATGCTCTCTTGATATATCTCGCTGTTCTCTCGCCGTTTTACCAATCTGACATGGTTTCCAGTTTATATACAGACAATTAACAAGCATACATTTCACAGAATCACAGAAACCAGGTGGACCTGGCAAAGAAGTGCCTTGGGTCTCAGAGGGGCGTGGCCGGGAAGCTCCCTGACAGATACCAGGAAGATTAATTAAGAATCAATACAAAATTATAAGAAGAGGTTTTCATGAACTGGCTACATTTCTTATGTGTAACTAGTTAAACTAGAAGTTTGTGATTAATAATTGTAGAAAAACTCAGCAGTGTTGTTGCACTTTCTGAGCACTTCCACTCCCTTCCCTGGCAGCTGGGAACCCTGCATTAGTAACCATAGTGACCCACAGGCCTGGGAGGAAGGCAAAGTGTTTGATTTGCATCAGCATCTAGGTAGCTGAATTAAAAGGATCTCTTTGGAGACTTTGCTTCCAGCTCTAGCAGGGCACCTGCCAGCACCCAGGTGAGAAGGATTTTTTTCTCTGAGACTGGTTTAGTGACTCAAGCCTTTTTCCTGTATCTGTAGGAGTAAAGGCATACACAGTTCATTTCCTTGGCTATGGTATTGTGTTAATTGAAACCAAGACAAAGGGTAAATACAGAATATTAGTAGCTTGTTAGGTTAGAGCAAAAGGCTAGTAGATTACACCTTCCTGAATCTGCCGTTAGAGAATGCATGGCCACCCAAACCTGTTTATCAGTAAGAGCATACATAGTGTCCCTGTGCTTAATTCCTCCTGCCTAGGGCTCCATTCTTGTCAGTGAGTCCTGTCAGTAAAGATAGTTGTGGGGGACTAGGTATATGCAGATTTGAATATTAGAACAAAGGTTTGGCTGGATGAATACTTTCACATCAGGGCTCCGTGGTGTGGAGAAAGGTACACAGTTGCCCATACAGGAAGTTATCTCAGCGAATCATTTATACATTGCTAGGATATTATGGAAGGAAGAAATGTCATGATTTCACAAGATTTCTTCAGAACTGACAGTGACTATCCAAAAGACAGTGTTCCCGAAGCTCTACAGTCGGGTTCTCCACCAGATCATACTACTGTAGGTCTGTCGTGGTCTGTCAGCTGTACTCTTGCTGTATAGTCTGTGGGCTTGCATCAGCAGTCACAGATTTTTAAAAATCTCCAAGGAAAAACATGGGTTAGCAAGATGGCTCAACAGTAAGATGCTTTCCACCAACCTGAGTTAGATCCCAGAATCTGTGTGTGGAAGGAAGGAAAGCCTTGAGGAAGTCGGTGATGCACACAGGTGCATACGTGGTGGTTGGAGGACACTGTCAGGAATTGAGTCAATCTCAGGCTAACCAGTTTATATAGCAAGAGCCTTACCCTCTGTGCCATCTCTGTGGCCTGTTTGGGTTTTGTTGTTGTTGTTGTTGTTGTTGTTGTTTGAGACAAAGCTTTACTGTATGTTTCAACAGATTAGCCTAAACACACAGAAACCTGGGCCAGCCTCCTAGGTGCTGTATTGCAGGTCCTCACTAGCATGCCCAGCTAAAATTGATTTTTTTTTAAGATTTATTATGCATACAATGTTCTGCCTGTATGTCCGCCTACAGGGCAGAAGAGGGCACCAGATCTCATTACAGATGGGTGTGAGCCACCATGGTTGCTGGGAACTGAACTCATGATCTCCAGAAGAGCACTCAGTACTCTTAACCTCTGAGCCATCTCTCCAGCCCTAAAATTTGATTATTAAAAAGGTGTGTTTTCTTCTCAGGAATTCTGCAGTTGAGACTGTTGAACAAGAACTTCTCTTTGTTGGCTCTGAGACTGGAAAACTTCTGGCTATGAGAGAACTTGTTAAAAAGGTATATTGAACTGCATTCTTGACTTTTGGTAGAGGGTGTTCATGTTCTATCATCCTCCTGCATTGTACTTAGTGTTGACTCTTTCTTAGTGATCCAGTGGTGTTGAGTCTTCTGTTCCTTGCTTGAGTAGGAGACCTGCCTGGTGATGCCTCGATTCTCCATCTGCCTGTCTGTATCCTCCTGTTCCCTCATCTTTGCTGGTTTGCTAGTAATGATCTGGGGCACTTAGTAATGAATAATGCCTTGAGTCTGGTTTTCTTTTTAATCCCAAAGTAAGTACTGAGTAGAAGCCTTGGGTAGAAAGTTGAAAGGCAGAGTTGCCTAGTGATTAAGAGCCCTTACTGCTTTTGTGGAGTACCTGGGTTCAGTTACCAGCACCTGCATGGTGTCTTAAAACTATTGCTAACTTGAGTTCCAAGGCTTCTGTAGGCACCAGGCACACACACATAGTCACAGACATATATGAAGGCAAAACACTCATTCACTTAAGATAAATCTTCAAGGGGGCTGGAGAGATGGCTCAGCGGTTAAGAGCATTGCCTGCTCTTCCAAAGGTCCTGAGTTCAATTCCCAGCAACCACATGGTGGCTCACAGCCATCTGAAATGAGATCTGATGCCCTCTTCTGGCCTGCAGGCAGACACATAGGACACACAGACAGAATATTGTATACATAATAAATAAATAAATAAATATTTAAAAAAAGATAAGTCTTCAAAATTTAAAAATAAATCACCTGCTAGTGGGTTCAGGGTAAGGAGCAAAAGAGAAATATAAATTATAAGGCTACTTTTTGAAATCTGTTCCTATAGGTGAGCACAAATACGGCAGTTGCCTTAGCGGGAGCAGTTAGGGTGGCTGAAAGATGGAAAAGAAAGGCGTCTGTGCATATCTGGGGGCTGTGCAAGAGGCATGCCTTGGGAGCTAGGACATGGGCTCCATGGGCACCTCATGGAGGTTCTACCTGTACCATTCTACCTTTGGGCAGCTCACCTCCCGTACACCCCAACTCTACAGTTGTCACTTTGGTAAAATGATGTAATATCTATTTCAAAGAGCTATTCTTATATGTAATGTGTTATATGTGATACTTCGAATAATGTTTTCCTGTGTATATTTGTTCCTGTTTGGGATTATTTTTATTTTATTGAGTTAGGATCTCACTCAAAGCTCAGGCTGACCTTGATAACAGAATCTTCCTGCCTCAGCCTCCCGAGTACTGGATTATAGATGTGTGCTACCATGCACACCCTCATTTTATTGATACCCCCCTTTTTTATTTCCAAGATCTTTATTATTTACACAGTGTTCTGCCTGCATGTATGTCTGCTTACCAGAAAAGGGCACCAGATCTCATTATAGGTGATCTATAATTAGAAATTATAGACTATTTCCTAATGGAAATTATAGGACCATTTCCTTGCTTAGGACCTCTGAAAGAACAGCCAGTGCTTTTAACCTCTGAGCCATCTTTCTAGCCTTTTATTGATATTCTTAAAGGTGTCATTTTGCCCCCTAGGAAATTTAAGGTTTTTTCAGGTATTTATATGGTGAAATTAGATCAGAGATTTTTAGCCATGTATTTGCAATTAAAAAGGTTCTTTCATAAGATTCAAAAAAGTATAAACCAAAACAAAAAGAATTCCTGACAGGGACATTTGGAAGCATGAGGTGTTTGGTGGCAGCAAATGTGAAGTGTGCTGAGAGCTGTGTTAGCTAATGCTCAGGTGTTTCTTGATTCTGTTGGGGATTGGGAATTTTGTTTGTTTACTTTGAGATAACTAGAACTAAATTAAGATACAGGGAAATTCTGAAGTTAAGGTAAACAATGAATTAAAGATGTGATTTTTACATTATAAGCAGAATCAAAGTTCTTGGGCTAAGAGGTGGTGGTTTTAGCATGGGTATACATTATTGTAGGAGGGCAAGTTTATTGGAATTAGTAAGGTAAAGAATACAGTCCAAGGACAATGGAAAGAACCCATTGTAGAGGGTAGATGATGAGGAAGATGGAGGCAGATTTAGACACTGGCAATGGAAGTGCATGTCTTAAAATTTCTGTTGCTGTGATAAAACACTGTGACCAAAAATAAAACAACTCAAGGAAGGGTTTATTTCAGCTTACTGTTTCACATCAGAGTCCATCATTGAGGAAAGTCAGAACCGGCACCTGCAGGCAGGAACTGATGTACAGGTGATGGACGGGTACAGCCTAATGTCTTGCTACCCACTACTACTTTCTTATGGTACTCTGGGACCACCTGCCTAGAGATTGTACCACCCAGTGGTACAGTGAATTGGCCCATCGATCGTTAATTGTGAAATGCTCTTCAGACTTGCCTACAAGCAAATCTTGTGGTATTTTTTTCAGTTGATAGTCCATTTTCCCAGATGACTTTTGGTTTTTATCTCAGGTTGACATAAAACTTGTCAGGACAGTGTACTAAATTGATTGGGTTATTTGTGAACTGAACTGAAGATATACTATGAGATACTGATTGTGTTCTTTCTTACAAGTTATATGTATTAATTTTTGCTTCTTTTTCCTAGGGTTTCAATCCACCTGTTCTTGTTTTTGTTCAGTCCATTGAAAGGGCTAAAGAACTTTTTCATGAGCTCATATATGAAGGAATTAATGTGGATGTCATTCATGCAGAAAGAACACAGCAGCAGGTAGAAAGTCAACTATGTATTACAAACACCATACACTGCCTGTTTTTTCCATTCTAGAATGTACTACAACATTTAATGTGTCTTCTTTCACCAGCGAGATAACACAGTCCACAGCTTCAGAGCGGGTAAAATCTGGGTTCTTATTTGTACAGCCCTGCTCGCAAGAGGGATTGATTTTAAAGGCGTAAACCTGGTCATCAATTATGATTTTCCAACCAGCTCAGTGGAATACATCCATAGGATAGGTGAGCCTTTGTTTTCATGCCCTATTGCCCACTTATCTTTCTCAGTTCCTCTGCTGTTCCCGTTAAACATACTCATTACTTGGTTTTTGGTTCTGTGAAAATCCAGTGACTTTCTTAGGGGTGTGTATGTGTGTGTGTGTGTACATTTTCTTAATTTAATGATGTGCGTGAGCATGTCCATGGTGTGTGTGGGGGAAGGGGGCTGGAGGAAAACATCTGGTATTGATCCTCAACATAATTTCCATTATATTTGAGGCAGGGACTTTCTTGTCTTTCATTGTATACATAAGGGTAATTAGTCTGTGAGTCTCATGGGTTTCCTGATCTCTACCTATCTTAACATAGGGACATAGGGATTATAGACACATCTTACTACTTCTGGCTTCTGCATGGATTCTGGGATTTTGAACTCATATCTTCATGTTTGTGCAGCAAATGATATATCCAGTGAGCCATCTCTCCAACCCTCAGTGACCATTATGTGAACCTTGAGAGTTTCCTTCTGATAAAAAACAAAAATAAAAAACCTTTTGTGGTGTGGTTTCTCTTAGGTCGAACTGGAAGAGCAGGGAATAGGGGAAAGGCTGTTACATTTTTCACTGAAGATGATAAACCGTTATTAAGAAGGTAAATTAGGGGCTGGGATGTAGCTCAGTTGGTAGAGCTCTTGTCTGGCATGTTTTGATTCCAACATCACTCCTTTCCACCCCCTCTCCCCCCACATTTAGGAGCATGTAAATTATGGAGCATAACTTAATATTTTAGTTGCAGCTGACAAAATTGCTTCATTTTTTTATATGTATATTTTATTACTAAACAATACAAAATGGCTATGTTCCAAATTCTGTTAGAGGCTCTATAGTAAAGCCCAGTCCCAAGAAACAGAGGTGGGAGCGTGGGGGTCTATGTTTTTGCCCTTTCTCTGTTAGAACTTGGAAGCGTTGACAGTGGAATATTCAGTTTCAGATTTCAGAGTAACAGAACTCATCTGAGAGCCAGCAGTTGAGCAGTGCTACTTAATGCATGGTATAAGGCGTGAGACAGACAGAGAGCGGGAGAGGAAGGGAGGGAGGGAGAGAGTGTGAATGACAGCAGGGTCTTACTGTGTTCCTGAGTAGCATGGGCTATCCTCAGACTTTAGAGCCTGAGCCTCCCCAGTCCAGTCCTGGAATTATAGGAGTGTCTCAGCACACTTGACTTCATTATGAAGGTTTTAAGTTATCGAATATTGTGCAAGGCTTCTCCATCCAATCACCTCTCTTTTCCCATGGTGCATCCTTTTCCTTACTTTGCAGCCAGATGGAGTTTTATATTTAGTCCCAGAATCACTTGCCACAGAGGAAAGAGTATTTTAGCGACACATCTTATTTTTAGTCACTTGTAGCCCTTTGAAGTCTGGGTACCATCTACTTTTAGACTCTCGAGTCTTAACTTAGCCTGTCATTATAGATTTTTATGCAGATTTGTTTTCGGAGATGGGGTTTCACTATGTAGCCTAGGCTGGTGAAACTCAATAGTCTACCTGCCTCAGCCTCCTAAGTGCTAGTCTTGCAGGCTTGTGCCGCCACTCGCAGCTGTAAAGGTCCAAGGTTTTGGCTGCCTACGGTAATTTTTGGTTAAAGGATAACTGATAGCACCTCACATGTCTATCAGATGAAATGCAGTTAGGGCAAAGGGGTTGTACTCTGTTCTGTGTGTCAGTTCTCCGGAATTAGATGCATACCGTCAAAGCCTCTGCTTTTTCACATGTCTGTGGGTAGGCATATGTTACAAGGGCTTTGATGGATCTCAGGTCTTAACCACAAGGATGTGACTGATGATCCCAGCATCAGTGTAACTGATCATTAGATTCCATCCATGAGGTGGGGATCATAGAGTTTTCCATACAAAGTCATTGTGACGACTGAATAGGTTGTTCTATGTAGAATGCAGTGCCAGCCCTTTAGTGAGCACTGTCACCTCGTGAATTCAGGCTTACCTCTGGTTTCATTAGGATTTGAACCAGCTGCTACCTAAAGCTACTCATCAGTGCATCTCAGAAATCCAGTGTGGTTCACTTGGCAGTAGTTGGTGCGCTCAGAGAAGACTGTGCTGGAACACTTTTGCGTAGTTTCAGTTCCTCCTATGTTGTACGGAGCGTTTGTGCATGACTGATTGTGTGCATTAACAACACCCATTCCTGTTTGTGGTTCCTTTTTCAGTGTTGCCAACGTTATCCAGCAGGCTGGTTGTCCTGTACCTGAATACATAAAAGGTTTCCAGAAACTATTAAGGTATGTATTTGAATTTACTCAGAGCCTTCTCATTGGGTTTTACATGTGCATTCTTGCTTCTTGCTTATTTGGATTCTTCCTTCTTGCCTTTATTTAGTTTGTAGTTTAAATATATGTCCCAGAATGGTGTGTTGCTGAATTTTACACTTTTTTTGTTTGTTTGTTTTTGTTTTTTTTCGAGATAGGGTTTCACTATGTCACTCTGACTGTCCTGGAATTCGCTCTGTAGACCAGGCTGAACTTGAACTCACAGAAATCTGCCTGCCTCTGCTCTCTAATACTAGAATTAAAGGCGTATGCCACTATACCTGACTTTACATGTTTTTAATTGTACATACAGATGATCTTTGACTTAAAACAGGGTTAAGTTCCACTAAGTAAATTGAAAGTACTATAAGTAGAAAATGGACTTAAGTGCATCTAATCTACTAAATATCCTAGTATAGTAGCCCAGTGTACTATAGGATTTCAGGATTTATGTAATTTTGTTGGTGTTTGTTTGTTTGTTTGTTTGGGGTCTTTTTTGAGACAGGGTCTCACTCTGTACTCAGGCTGGTCTGAAACTCACAGCAATCTTCCTGCCTTGACTGTCATAACTATGGAGATTACAGGCATAAATTACCGCACCTTGTTAGAGTATCTGTCACCTTCATTGTTGAGTGACTCACTTGGAGCTTTGGTTCTCTGCTGCCATCCAGCATTGCTGAAGAATTTTGTGCCGCCTGCTGCATGTTGGGAAGGTCAAAGTGCAGAGCAGTTTTTGCTGAGCAGGTGTCACTTTGCATCATGAAGTGAAAAGACTGAGCATGCTGCAGCGTGGCTTCTGAGAGTGCCAGCTGGATGTGCGTCTGACTGTTCTCTCCTCCATTTCCCTTGTGTGTGGCTGAGTGGCACGCTGCACTCAGTCCTGTGCCCTCGCTCTGTCTCCAGGGCTCTTCCTCTTACAGAGCTACTTCTGTACCCATTAAACAATCATAACCTTTTCCCAGGTTTCCTGTTTCTGGTTTTGATTGTCTGGGTGCCTCATATAGTGGAATCACACAGTGTTTGTCTTTTTGTGGTGGACTTACTTCACTTTGCACAATGTATTTTAGTCAGAATTTCCTCCCTCAAAGCCCCTGTCACGTTTTACCTGCCTGTCTGTCCTTTAGGTTGCACCCGCAGTACATCTGTTGGAAGTGATATTGTTCAACATTTTGCCTTAGAACATATTATTTCCTTGTCAGCTTTTCTCTCTTTGAAATTCAGATTTCTTAAAAAGAAACTATTCAGTGAGTGAAATATGCTTAGACTTATTAGTAATGGTTTATTTCCTGGAGTCAGAGGGTTAGCGTCTGTTGACATAGGCCATGAGGTTGTCCCAGAATGTATTTTCATCACAGCCAGTGTGTTTTTAAAGGTTGATTTCCTGGATCCTTATGAAATAGTTGTAAGTGCTCTCAGTTAATCTAGTTCATCGAAATCAGCATAGCCTCACCTAGCTTTAGCTTCCAAATGAGCTTATGTTTAACTAATTTCCTCTCTCACTTCCTAACTTCCAGCAAACAAAAGAAAAAGATGATTAAGAAACCACTGGAAAGAGAGAGCATTAGTACAACTCCAAAGTATTTCTTAGAGCAAGCTAAACAGTAAGTATATATCTGTGTGGTAAGGAAAGTCCTACGTGACCTGAGTGGACATTGTTTTTTCTTAAGATACATTATTAGAATTAAAATAAATAGATAGGTAATCCATTATGGGATGTGATAGACATGTGTTTCAGGTTGCCTCTGATTTGGAAATTTGCATATTTTAGTGTTGAAATTTGTCTATATCTATATGTTAGTCATCTGGGTTTCCCCCTGTGTGTGAAAATAGATTACAGTTTACTGTGAGGTAGAATTGCACCGCACACTCCCTGCACCGTCTATATTAGGCCACGTTACTGAGGCCAATAGTTAGGATTATTGACAAGCGATGATGAGCCTTTCTTGAAGCTCTGTCTTCTGGGCGCGAGTTCATATAATTCTCTGCTTACACTGAGGTGCACTGTAACATTTAAGAAGTACTATTTAGCTTAAGGTTTTTTTGCGGGGGTAGGGAGTGTTAGCAGAAGTCTTATAGGATACATAGCGCTGTGTCCCAGAGCTTTGATTTATTCTAAGATTTAACATGGCAGAATAAACACCACAAACTTATAAAGATTTGGAAGTTTAACAGTTTAAATTCCACTGGTACTTTCTCAGTTTTATGAATTCTAATATAATGTTGTAAGGTGTGTGTCTGTGTGATCGCACATGTGTGTACAGTTTTTGTGGGGCTTGGACTTTGTCTAGAGTGTCATGAGGATTATTAGGCATGCAGTATAGTCTTACTTCTTGGGATAGCTGAGAACTAAAATAACACATGCTGACTCTGGCACTGAGTAGAAGCTGTGGAGGTTTCTCTAGAGGCTGAAGGTCAGCTGGAGCTGAAGATGGAGGCTGTTGAAATTTAATAGAATGCAGCAGTATTTTTTATTTAGATAAAACACTGTTTTGAGTAATTGCACTTTAAATGTCCTATGTTTATAGCGTTCTTCTGGGCTGATTAACTTAGTTACAAGAGGACTTTGGGGTGCTGGTGTTAGTCTTGTGGTACCAGCAACACAGTTAAAGTGCTTTGGCATTCTTTGTTTAATTTAACTTAAAGGCTGTCCTTAGCATAAGAACAAGATCCATCAGGATCTAGTTCCTGTTCCTTCTGCATTACAGATAGGGGTTGCTTTGGGGCATAAAAGTTCCTGTCTTCAGCTCAGCTTCCACATTAAACTCTAGACAACAGGGAACCTGATTTCCTGTTGTCTAGAGGGCCTCACTTCAGGCACTATGGACCCAGCCTGGTGTGATAAGGGCCAGATTTGGATTTGGAGCCTAAAAATTGATTCAAATGGGAACTTTGGGCAAGTTACTTGTCTCTCAAGTATTATTCCCATTATATAATGGAAATGCTTTCATCCAAGGTACAGACTTTGTTCTTGGTGTTAGTTGGTCCAAGAATTACATGAGCAAACATTCCAAAGAACTTCTTACTGTAGTGTGCAAGTATTGTTTACTGTCTCAAAGTTTTTTCCTTTTTCTTTATTAACACTAGTTAATGTATTCACCATTCACTGGGCTGTAGAATCAGACTGTCAGTGTTTATACATAACATTTATTAATAACGTGTGATGACCAGCAAGTTCTTTTTTCATTCCACCTTATTATTTCATTTGGAAAATGAGAGTAGTAGGCTGTTAGGAAGCTCCCTTGAGTTAATTCATGTAGACTGAAGAAGTTTCTGTCCCACCTGATTCTGCACCATTCAGCCCAAAGAAACATTGAAAAGTTGATATTAATTATAAACCGTTTGGTCTATTAACTAGCTCTTTTACAACTTAAATTGTAACTTGGTACCTTTTCTCAGTAAGGCATTCTCATCTTGCTTCCTCTGCATCTGGCTGGTGACTGTGTCTCTGCTTTTCTTCTTCCCAGAATTCTCCTAGTCTAGTCACCCTGCCTATACTGCCTGTCTGGCTACTGGTCAGCGTTTTATTAAACCAATATGAGTGACAAATCTTTACAGTATACAAGAGCATTATCCCACAGCAGACGCATGCACAAAGAACACTTAACAGCAATGTCTAGTACTTAACACTGAACAGGTCAAGACCAGACTGTCCCTTGTGCTAGGTAACAGTGTAGTTGGTTGTGATGTTTCTCATATGGACAGAGATTTTTATGCTAGACAAAAAACTAGTTAACATCTTTGTTCCCAGTGCCTCATATGCTTTGCTGTATACTAACTTTCAACATATGTTCATTTATGCCCTTGGTTATAGAAGTGAGTGTATATAGAGTTGCTGATTCAACATGTCTTCCTATTCACAGGAGAAAGGTTGCTGGCCAAAACAGCAAGAAGAAAGAAACTCTTGAAGAGAAAAGTTAAAAATAGATACCTTAGAAGGCTATCCACGCAGTGTAATTTATAAGCCCAGCATGAATTCTCATGGATTACTTAACAACCATCTTTAGCAAGCGTATTAAATCAACAAAGATGTGAGAAAAGAAAGTGGTCCTAATTTACCAATGCATCAGGGCAAGCGTCACCTTGTAGGTGAAATTTATGCAATGGAAATAACGTGCATCGACATTTCTGCCCGAAGTCGGAGAGATACTTCTTATAGAAGAATGAGAGTTGATGTTAAAAGAACACCCAAATGTGGTGGACTCTTAAGGATTTTGCCCTTCCAGTGTGGTTCATGCTGTGGAGAGGCATATGGAACAGAATTTTAAAATAAAATCTTGAGCTTGAATGTACCATCCACTCTTGTGTGCGTGTAGGGTGTTGTGTATGGGATGCGGATGAAAGCAACACAGGCCATGCACTAGGAAGAAGCCTAGTGCTCCCTTCAGTGTTTCTTTATGGTTATAATGGCCTTTGTGGTATGAGCCACAATAAGGCGGTACCTTACCTATTACTAGCCAAGTTCCCGAGGATTGGAAACTTCAGTCTGTTGAAATTTACTTACAGCACACTGGGAAGGAAGTTCATACTTCGCTGTCACAGTGTTGCAAATATAAGATTATGATCAGCCTCTCCCTTTCTGACTTCGTTCTCCATCATTTAACCATGTTCTTTCCTGTCTCTTTCCATTCAAGATGAAAGCTGATAACAGTGCTTTATCCTGATAAGGAAGAGCAGTCCTGTTACATGATACACCTGGCTTCACCTTCCCAGAGTCTTATCTTTGCTAAGTTTTGATAGCCTTCATCCACCAAGGTGATGCACAATGCGCAGGTTTTCCTTAATTACCTATTTTTGTACAGTGGGATTCAGAAAGACTTGATGCCGGTTGGAGCACAAACTGGTGCGTAGAATTGCATGGGATCCGTGCTGCTGTGGGACTGCAGTACAGTCCGAGTTAAACCTCATGCCTTACTCTCAGCAGCTGATACTTCATTCTAAAATCAGCACGCAAAACCTTTTTAATGTGTATTTGTTTAGAGAAGCCCAGCCTGGCCTGGAACCCACAGCAATCCTGTTTCAACCCCTTTACTGCTGAGAATACAGACAGACTACCTTGAATAGATGGGACAGAGGTTTTGTTTTGTTTTGGCTTGTTTCATCAGAATTTACTTAAATAGGCTGATTGCTCCAAGAAGTGAAAAATGAAAGTACATAGTTTTTATTCTTGCAGATCTCTGAGTCCGTGTGTCTCCTGGAAGTGGGTAAATTGTTGGAATTGTTTGCCTGCTGTGTTCTTTAGTTTCTCCTGTATTTTAAGATTGAAAGTTGCTCTGTGAAGCTTTGTAAACTCACAACAAATATTCCTTCAACAAACAATTTTTAGGAACACAGGGCTTGCTAACAGCACCATTCTTGCAATTAATGAATTAATGCAGTGATGAAGGACAAGGCACAAATTGTGTGGTGTAAAGCTGTGATCGTGAAGCAGCTGAGCAGGACTAACTCAGATGGGGGACGTCATGGAAGGCTGCTAAGGGATCACCTTGACAGTTCCTAATCTCCTGTTTTCTCTTTATTCACTGTTGAGCAGCCACCTGATCCCTGTCGCAGCTATAACACGTATCAGCTTACTTTGTCAAAGGGTCAATGAAGAATTCAGGACTCTGCTACATAAATGTTAGCTTTGTCCAAGGAAAAAGAGTGAAAACAGTGAAGAGTCCAGACCAAACAACAATAAGCAAAAAGATCCCACAAATACTTGGCATGGTACTAGGTAAAGAAGCAAAGAAAGACTTTGGAGTCAAGCTGTCCTGGATTTGAATCCTGGTCTTGCTGCTTGTAGCTCTAAGATCTAGGCATATCACATGAACTTCTTTCAGGACTGATATTTCTCATTTCTAAAATAGCAGTAATAACTCATAGCGACAAAATTTCTGTCTGGTAGCTTATGTCTAGTAACAAATAGCCTGTTAGAAGTTTGTCAGTGAAAGCTGTAAGGCAAGCCGTGGCAGAGACCGATTGTAATTATCTAAGAGCTTGACAAAGTTTACTCCCAACACGTTTTATTTCCATGAAGCTTGATTAGGGGCTGAGGTGTCAAGGTAAAAACATCCCCTGCATAGGTTCAGCATATTTGTGCTTGTTGCGCCTTGCTAGGAAAGGGAAAACTACTTGACACGATGGCAAACTCAAACAAGAGTAGTGCACCTTGGAGGATATCCTTTTCATGTGTATTGGGCTCGTGTGCTCTTTGGCTGGTTTGCTAAAGGAAATTTTAAACACCGTCAGTGCCTATGATGGGTACTGCAAAGAGTGCCAAGGGCAAACAGCTGTAAAGCCATCAAAAGGCCGCCTATTGTGTAAAGGAACGGCAAAAGAGCACCTGTGTTCCGCCATCCAGTTCAGAAATCAGGACGTAACTCTGCACTGATGCAGACCCGCATTTGCAAAGGGCTTGAATCCCACAGCATGCAGCGGGGGCGCGCCGCTCGTGCCCTAGGGCTCTGGAGTCACGTGGACGCGCGGCCCCGCCCCGTCGTCGGCCCCGGTATGGTGGGGCGGTGTCTGCCCCGGAAGTGCCTGTCTTCGGCTGACAGCTGCTGGCACGGCGGCCGCACCAGCGACATCTTGCTCGGGCCGCC